GATGCGTCTCTCTCTCTTTATGTCGCTAATTCGAACGACATAAAACGTTACAGCACGCGCGACGGGTGAGCAGCGAAGCCGCGAGGAATGAAGGCGGAAGCCCAAAGAAATAATTTTTACTCTCTCCTGCGCAATCTTTCCCTCTTATTGCCGTCAATTTGTATTTTTAAAGCATTGTGAAATCAACAACGGTTAAAGCGTCGACTTGACCATAGTTTTCGCATCGTCAAACAAATTCCATTTCACTTCGCATCACAGCAGATTCAAGAATAAAACAGAACAGGTAAGATTTTATCTCTTATGTAATTTCCATTTGCAGTTTACAAATAAGAGCCTGGATTCCCTATGATGAGAGATTAGTTTCACTCGCTACAGGTAACGATATCTCTTTCGCTTTCGCTTTTGGAAGATCTAGGGGAGGGGCCCCACCGTATTTTTAGGCCAAAAGCCAGCAGGGCGGACAAAAATTATTTTCGAGGCCGACCCCTCTGTTTTAGCTTCTGGATGTGCGGAGCCCCCACTTTCTCGATGATCTGAAACTGTCCATTTGTAAGTATTTAAAAACTGAAAGCGTCACAACCCACAAAGTGGATCAGAAAGGCTAACCGTTTCTCGAACAAACTCTTCTTTTTGTTCTCTTTGTTCACAAACAACTCTTCGGTCTGTGATCGAAATCATCGATGATCAAACTGGCAATTTTGATCATTTAACTGCTTGAATTTTTCTAAGAATGTAACATGCCGTTAGAAATTCAGAAAATGATTGTCGGTAACCAAAAAACTCCTTCAACAATATTCCAGCAAGGACGTCTTGGAGAATTTTGTTTTGTTTTTTTTTTCGTTCCGTTGAACAGCTCATTTTTGTTTGTTTGGGTTTTTTTGCATGCAAATTATTTATTCACCGTCAGTATACACTACCAGCCAAGCATCAAGAAACAATATAGGCCAATATAGTACGGCTCAGTGGGCAACAGAAAAGATTAGTCGACTGCAATGTTTTACTATATCTATTCATTGCTGGAATCGAATCGAATGGAATCGAATAATTCTTTATTTAAACACGGTAAAATTCATCAGGAGTATAAAAAATTTTAAATAAACCTAACTACCCTAAACAATATGCAAAACTATCTACAACTAACCTAACTAAGACCTGTTTTTCATGAATGCCGTGTACACAGTACTTAAAAAAATCAGAAATTCAGATGAGCCAATCGTTTAAATCGACTTAAAGATTTAGTCTATCTCATATGACAGGACTGGCTGTTCCAGAGAACTGCTCCGCTATAACTGAAACTATTTTCCCTGAAGTTAGTTCACGGTAGCGGGACAATTAGCTTGTTAACAGAGTCTCTTAGGGAGTAGCGCGTTTCATATCGTTTAACAAATTTGGAGGATAAATATCCTGGAACAAGATCATTCAAAGACTTGAAAACCATTGGGGCGTTTTGTATTTNGCTCAGTGGGCAACAGAAAAGATTAGTCGACTGCAATGTTTTACTATATCTATTCATTGCTGGAATCGAATCGAATGGAATCGAATAATTCTTTATTTAAACACGGTAAAATTCATCAGGAGTATAAAAAATTTTAAATAAACCTAACTACCCTAAACAATATGCAAAACTATCTACAACTAACCTAACTAAGACCTGTTTTTCATGAATGCCGTGTACACAGTACTTAAAAAAATCAGAAATTCAGATGAGCCAATCGTTTAAATCGACTTAAAGATTTAGTCTATCTCATATGACAGGACTGGCTGTTCCAGAGAACTGCTCCGCTATAACTGAAACTATTTTCCCTGAAGTTAGTTCACGGTAGCGGGACAATTAGCTTGTTAACAGAGTCTCTTAGGGAGTAGCGCGTTTCATATCGTTTAACAAATTTGGAGGATAAATATCCTGGAACAAGATCATTCAAAGACTTGAAAACCATTGGGGCGTTTTGTATTTGAAATTGAGTGCTCAAGTCTTTCCAATTAAGTTGTCTAAATAAGCGGTTGGCATCAGCATCATATCTAGAAAAGGCCTACGGTAGGTTAGAACACGAGCAGCACGGTTCTGAAGCTTCTGTATCCTGTCAGACAAAGTTTTTCCATAATTACCATTATTACACCAGACAATATTACAATAATCGAAGTGAGATTGAATGAGAGCGTTGTGTATACAACGGAGAGTAAGCGTTGGAACAAAATCTCTAATTCTTTTAATTGCACCTATCCCGGAAGTGATCTTTTTAGATAATTTATCGATGTGCGTTTGCCAAGGTAGATTTTCATCAATAAATATTCCAAGCGATTTTACAGAGGTATCTTTTTCTATATGAACATTATGAATCGAGAGCTCGGGTTGGCTCGACAAAGTACTCAATTTTTGTCTTAATGCAATTAGCATAAATTCAGTTTTAGCGGTGTTCAAAGTAAGTTTATTGGAAATAAGTCATTATTTTAGATTACCTAAATCGTGATTCAAATTTAATTGTATTGAATTCACATCAACATGTACCTAAGTGATGTGTGTCATCAGCATATATCCTAGGTTGACATGAAGTTAGGCAGTTTGGCAAATTCGTTGATGTAAATAAGAAATAAAGGGGAACCAAGGATTGTTCCCTGCGTTACCCTGCATTTAAGAGAACAGATTCTAGAAAGGGAACCATTAACGAGACATCGTTGTGTACGATTTGTCAAATACGATCTAAACCAATCGAAAGCAATTTCTTGCCGTACCGTAAAGGTTCATTTTAGATAAAAAGATATCATGATCAACAGTGTCAAATGCCTTTAAAATTTTTAAATCAAGAAAAACCACAGCATTAACATTCACGATCGATTATCAGTTATCTTTAGCTTCAAGGAGAGCAGTTATAGTTGAGTATAAAGAGCGAAAGCCCGATTGATGTGTAGAAATGATATCCTCTTTGCTCAAAAAATTATACAACTGGTCATACACAATCCTTTCGAAAACTTTAGCTATAACAGAAATGACTCTAATAGCAATTATTTAGATCAGATGCCTCACCTTGCTTAAACAACGGAGTAACCCTAGCACTTTTCCAATCGTCAGGAAATATACCAAAGAGCAAAGATTTATTAAAGAGGTCACATTTATATAGAGAAACTGAAATCAGATCGTCACATTCACGTATTATTTTAGCAGTGATATTGTTGTTATTTACATTTATAATATTGATATAACTTAAATCATTATTATTATCATTTGGAGGAATTTCATTGGCAAGGCGGGACCCAATTGTTCGAAGAGCAAGGAGGTCTATACCATGTAGCTATCAGAAATGGCTTTGAGTTAGGTTTACGAATTTCAATACATAAATTTTCAAGATTAGTTACATTTATATTAGAACAAACTACAAAATTAATCGCGGTTTTTGTATAAAAGCTTACACCTCCGCCTTGTCTGTTTCTATCACGTCAAATAAATTCATAGCCTGGTATATGGACCTCATAGCTTTTGATAGCGTCATCAAGTTAGTTTCATTAATTGAGATAATATCGACAGAGTAATCAAAAAGGAGAATTCTCAATTCATCAATGTGTTTAGTTAGAATGTTGATGTTCAAATGGGCTATTCTAAAACCTCGTCTAGAAGGAATAAAATCAGAAATATTATTATGTTGATTTGAAATAGGTGAGCTAAAATACCTTTGAGAGGTTAGCGTGGGCGTGTCCAGTTGCCAGCTGGAATAGAACGGTTTCCTAGCTCCATTAGAAGCTTTCCCAGTTGTTGAATAGCTGGGGACCGAAAACCCTTACGAGACTCATTAAACTTGTCAGAACCAGATCTTAAAAACTTAATAAACTGCACGGCTAGCAGTGATGAACCCTTAGCATTTAGATAAAGTCTACTGCTCTTTTCAGTTTCCTAGTCATCAGCTTTTCCATTGGGGTGATGGGCCAGGCAAACCAAAGGGTTGCTCTCTAAACGGGAGGCTTCGCCCGAAAAGAGTGCCTTTTAGTTCAGCCTTTAAGGACATGAAATTAAAGGTTTGGGATTTTGTCTTAGGTTATAGTAAACTTTCTAGGGCCTAATAGCATGAATTTAACATCAGGAGCCCATAACCCGGAGCGTGCAACTCCCATAATTAGCCCATGCGATAGCGTTTTCACAGATCAAGTTATTTTCGGCATCTTTCTTTAGCACTTTTTCAAGCGAAAATGGAAGCACTGTTCCCTATGCATGCCATCTAAGAAATCAGAAATACTTTTTTCTTGTCTCTGGTTTTTGATGACATGATTTGTAAGACTTACATATGGTATTCAAATTTGGCGCGAAAATCGATCTAAAAATAAACTGGTCTCTGAAAAAGCCCCATGGGCCCAAGGGAGTTGCTCGCTCCGGGTTATGGGCTTCTGCAGACATTACATGCAGTACAAACATTACATGTAGTAAAAACATTCCTCGTCTCAAAACGCTTTTTCACAGAAAAAGATACATACAGTAAAATTGGAAAAAAAATCAAGATGGATTAATAGTAGAACTAAGGAAAAGTACAACATAAATGATTAAAAGACAAACCCTGTATATGGAGATAGGAAGTTCAAGATTAGCAATTTTTTAGACTGGGAAATTCAAGCAACTTCTAATAATGACTTCTCATGCCCCGTTTACACGGTTCCGAACAAATTTTTGAACGGCCAAAACCTTGCAGGGATACGTCTGTCGTTTACAGGGAACCCGCGGAAGCGTGCAAGTTTTTGAACTGCAACAGTACTGCAATCTGCGACATATTTTGCACCGTTTCTTGTAAACGGCTTGCACATGAAAAAAACATTCGTCCGTTCAAAAGTAAATTGTCCGGACCCGGGTGTAAACGGGTCTCAGCCGCAAGACTAAGAAGGCAAGGATTAAGGCCGGGAAATATTTATTGTTAACGACGTAAGTTGACCTCGTGCGAGTACTTATTAAAAGGGAGTCGTGCCATTTTGCCGTTGGCTTAGTAGAGGTGGTATCTATGCCGTAAAGGTTTTGGCAATTTAATATTTCCCCTTGCTTTTCTTATAGAAGAAACTTTCTTCTTTCAATGGCATCGGCAGCTCCGACGTTTCCATCTACAAGAGAGACAACTAATTATGCCAGATTATGCCGGCTTTTGGTGGATTTTGGTTCTCAGGCCCTGCGAGAAACATTTGATAGAATTCATCCTCCAGGAGGCCTTGAAACAGTTTTGGCAACACCACCAGCTCTTCCTAAACTGCGGTACCTTCAAGTGAAGAAAATCTTGAATCCTTCTCAATGGGATATACTATACCCTGCCATCAAATCTTCAGTTTCATCCAAAGACTTTGATATCACCTTGCTGGTGGTGCTGCTCAGGAATATTTGTGGCCTGACTCCTCCAGCCACTGGCTGGGATGCCCTTCCTTTGCCTGCAGATTTGTCTTGTGAGGCTGACATCGCCCGCATCAAATTCTATAAAAATAAAGTGTGTGGTCATTCCGCCCAAGCGTCGGTTGACGATGCGACATTTCACAATTATTGGAGGAATATCCGCGGTATTCTGGTAAGACTTGGTGGAGTGGCTTATGAAGCAGCTATTGATGGGCTCAAGTATGACTGTTGGGACCCTGAGCTAGAAGAACACTACAAAGAGCTTCTAAAGAAGTGGAAGACGGACGAAGATAGTGTGATGGACAAGCTGATTAACGTTGAAGCCAAAGTAGATAAAGTAGCAGCAGCAGTGGATAGAATTGAGAGGCAATTGATGCCATCGCCTGGTAGGTGAAATGGTAGGAGTATAGCACATAAGTTACTTGTTTTATGCACATGTTTTATCGCCTTTTACACAAAAAACCGATCAAGGACACGTACCTTAACAATCTTTTCTGTTTAGGGAAATGCTGGTAAGTCAGCTGTGTAATTAAAACTAGATTGATCTTCAAGTACGGCTAGGCACTCTGTCATCGCCTCTCCTATCCATTCAAAGTTCCGGTGTTTGTTGTTTTCTACAGGTAGCTTGAACAGCGGGACAATATTGTGTTGAGGGTATGGGGGAGGGAAAGCTTTATTTTCTCCTTTTTAAGTTGGCAAAACCCCAGAGAGGTCCTTTAGGGCAAAGTGTTGCAACTAATTTTGTCGCAGATTGAAGATCAGACTCCTCTGACCTAATTGTAATGTTCGAGTTGTTGTTAAAGATCCGATTAAAGAAAAGTGGTGCCCTCCTCAGTTTCCCTTCAGGTCTTCGTGTTATTATCCACTAGCATTTTGACATCTTTGGTGATCTATAACTGACCAGACATACGCATGGTATAGTGAAATCCATTTGTTTTGTATGATGTCGAGAATTTAGGCAGGCCGAAATTAGCCTCTGTCGCTCGACTGTAGAGATATCTGCCATCAATTCGCAGGCAAAAAGTTGGACACTAACATCCAGTTTCAAAAAATACACCTGTTACTTTTAAAGTTTTACAAAACCTAGGTTTTTCTTTTCTCACATTTGTCTTTTTCTTAAGCTTTTTTCTGTTTTTGTTGTTTCCGTTCCAAGGAGAGATGAACAGGAGCAAACAAAAGAGCGAGTTACCAGAAAAGGACCTCAATATTCAGGGCCGCAAGAAGGAGATCGATGACATTGTACAAGTTCTCTCGAGAAAAAGAGACAAAGTGGTTGCAGGAGTCCTTGTCAGTGGAACGGCTGGAGTAGGAAAATCCACGGTTGCCATTCAAGCTGGGTATCGGCTGAAAAATGAGTTTGAAGCCATCGTGAGGTTTTGTTCTTTGGGAGGCACTTACAAAGGGCGCAGTGAAGACAATGGCGCTTTGAGGGAAATTCTAAATGTGTGTGTTCCAGGCCATCAACAAGGCAGCGAGTACCCCAAGTATGTTTTGCTCAATTGGTGCAGGCGGCTTGACTATGAGTTGGTCCTTATTGTTGATAATGCAGAAGATGTTATAGGCGATCGGGGTGACTACACTTTTTTAAACTTGGTGAGTGATATGAGGATGTGCTCTGATTGTAAAATAAAGTTTCTTGTAACCTCTAGACGTTGGGACATTGCCGGAGCGGTTTCCAACATTCAATTTGTTAATATATGTCTCGGTCCTTTGGATGTTAAGGAAAGTATAGAAGTTCTGAAGAATGGTGCGCGTTTGACATCTGACACTGATACTGACACTGAAGTCAAATTGCGTGAGATAGCTGAACTCTGTGAAAACATTCCCCTCGCACTTCGATTAGCAGGCCCCCTCCTTGCAGAGGAATCTGAATACACTTTTGAAGGACTTAAGAAAAAACTTGAGCAGAATCCAGCAAAAACTCTTGGTGCCGAGAAAATGATGGAGATAGCTTTCGAAAAACTAGACGACTCTTTGAAACGTGCCTTAGTGCGTTTATCAGTGTTTCCTCAGTCTTTCAAAAGAGATGCAGCGGAAGCAATACTAGGTGATAACTGTGCTGCAGACCTGACAAATTTAAAGAAAAGGTGTTTGATCCAGAAACAGGACGGCCGATACCTCATTCACTTACTGATTCGAAGCTATGCAAAGCAGGTTGGCAAAAAGGAAGAATTCTGCCAGATTCTATCTGATGGCAAGCACGGTTTTCTGAGGCACTTTTTGTCGCTGATTTTGAGATACGCAAAGAAATATTGGGGGAAGGACACATGCAAAGAGTCGTTCATTCTTTTCAATGAAGAAAGAATTAATCTTGAATCCACTCTGAGGGAGATTGCCGGTCAAAAGGAAATCCAACATTGCAGTGAAATGGAAGCTGCGATGAACGAGTGTCAACAAGTAGCACCTTACATTGAATATTGTGTTCACTTTCAACTTTACGATAAATTTTTGAGGGGTCTTCTTCAATTGTGTCAAAGTCAAGAGAAGATAACCAAACAAGTGGAAATTTTGTGCCTCCTGTATCATGAAAAAAGGAAATATAGTTGGAATTATGAGCACAAATTAGAAGATCTCATTCTCCAAGCCAAGGAACTGCACGATGGCAACCTCTCTCATTTCGAACGAGACAGGTTGTCTGAAGCGTTCTATTTGAACCACTATGGGAGATACCTCTCAGAAGACCGTAATGAAAGAGAACAGGCACAGCCTCTTCTGAAACAAGCAATCTCGATTTATGAAAAGGAAGTCACTATCAATGGTTCTGCTTTTGACATAGGCAGAATTATTGCTCAAATGGGCCATAACGCGACAAATGGGGAAAGGCGTCAGGAAGCTCTTCAATTCTATACAAACGCCTTACGTTTTCGTTCTTCTCACTACGGAAAACATTTCTTGACCACTTTTGCACACAAAGACCTGGCTGATTATTATCTCAGGATCGAAAATTTTAGTAAAGCAGAGGAAAGCTACCTTAAAGCAATTCAAGTTCTTGACGATATTGAGATGATAGGGCAAAAAGAGGTAGTTCCAGTTTGTAGAAATTTTGGAATGTGTTGTGAAAAGAGAGGGAATATTGAGGAGGCTCGAAGAGTATTGGAAATGGGAAGACATGTTGCCGCTAACACCATCGAGGGAAGTGTGAAATGGAAGGTTGAGATCAACACCTATTTAGCACTGCTTTTGTATAGAAATTACCTTGATGAGATCAGTACTGCAGACGAACTTTCCAGAGAAGTTTTCGCCATGAGCAAAGAACTTAAAATGGAAAAATGGCGTGAAAGCACAGTGCTTGAAACATTTTACAAGAGGAAGTAGACATCCGGCTGAAACTTTGCGTGGCTAATATTTATCTAGAGTTTTTCCTAGCTATTCCAGATCTATTAGGGGTCAGGGGTATTCCGTAATCTTGACATGCAAATGTCTATAATAATAATGAAGAATATTTATCGCTGGTTTTCAGTGTCACGCCATTCTAGATAGAGCAAAATAAAAATCAAAACCGCCCAATAGATGAAGTTCAGAATCTGGGAGATAAAAGGAGGTAATATGAAAATACCATCGTCAAGATTCTGGACGGTTCAATTTTTTCTTATGCGAGATATCCGGAGAAATGTTTTACCCAGATTTATAGAGATTTGTATGGAGACGCCATGTTGGTGCCCATCCAGATCATAGGGCACCAACATGGAGGTCGGAAACTAATAGAAACATTGGTACGAAAGCGTGAATTCATTTCTCGATGAACTCACAGTCCTTCAAGAACTAGATAACCGGTAATGATAAAAATACAAGACTATTCAGATCTACAATTTTCCAAATTTTATTCTACTAACTTATCCCTTTCCTGACTCTACTCCGGACGTAATATTCGACAACTTACCGACGATTAACTGTAATTGGCAAACGCGGCTCATACCTTGGCATCCAGATACATTATAAGTACCGACCCTCAAAAACTTTTAGTACCGACGTCCGCTCAGAATACTTCCTACAGACTCATTTCCTGGAAGCATTGGTATCAAGCAAGATCCACTCTGCACCTGGTTCAGCAATTCTCCTGAAAATCGTGTTCAACTCCATTAATTTTTGTGATATTGTACAAAAGTTAATATGTTTTGAAAAATTTGACTGATAACAACAAAACTTTGTTGGTAAGTAGATAACATTACAAAAGCACTGTCCGCAGCTCGCAAAGCTATTCGAAGAGAGGTTGTACATTCAAAAACGAAGATAACGTTAAGACTCATTAGAACGATCTACAACACGTTTGACCGGTAAACTCTGCGGTACCAGTCTCAATTATTTTAATTTTAAATTATACCTCGAGATTACAATCTTTGGGGCCTAAAACCTGCATGATACTTATCAATTTGCTATTCAGCTGAATTTTTGCTTTCTCCCAGCTATACATTACATATGCAATGCAAATCAGAAAGATCTTTTTTAGCCCTCAAAATGGGGCCGTTTAAGTGACGAGTAAAATAGAGTCTTATTTTTGAGCCTAATTTGGCTCTCTTAAATCAGGGCTAATACAGTCCAATTACCTAGGGCTGAAATGGGCCCCAGCGCGGGCTGGAATAGCCTTTTGATTGAGCTGTTTTGGTCTAAATTGGGCTCAAATGGTTCCAGAAGGGGCTGAATCAGACTTTGGCCTGCAGGGCTGAATTGGCACTTTGGGGCTGCAACAGATCTTTTTAATTTACAGCGTGGGGCACCAGAACCAGTGACAAGACCCCATCAGCTAAAAATGTTCTTGAAGGTCCTTGAGTACCAATTTCAACTAAAATCCTACAAACAAATTCCTTTCGAAGAAGTGCGGGATCCTGCCGTAGACAAATTGGTGTGCATTCCCTTACCTAGCATGCTCGCTTTTAAGGCGATATAGTTTTCAAGCATGAAAAAGCTTTCTTGAAATTCTTTGCCTTGGTAATGCTCACTACTGAAGTTGTTTTTTTAAATAGTTTTTTAATAGAGGAATTACGATTAACTAACAGCTTTCATCCTTCAGGTATATTTTTTTCCTCCGTAATCATTTTATTTTATTTTTCACATTTTTTTTCTTTCCTCATTGTATAACTAGCCTAATCAGGTCACTACTGTTGTTGGTAAGTTACTCGCGCGCCGGCGAGCGCTGTTTCATGTGGGGCGCGCGCGAGTATGCAATCGGGCACGTGAGCTAATTTTAACGAACTTTTTAACGGTATTTAGTCGTGTACTTTGAAGAAGGCAGCATTGCCGAAACGTCGGTTAATACTCTTAATATAACAGCGTCGATTTTATAATTATCAAATTAACTAAATAACATCGACCGATCAAACCAACGTTCCTCCGAAAGACCATAAGCAGCGTCGCTCAATGCAATACAGCTGAGTCTATTACAGATGTAACATTTTTTTTTTTTAGTAATATAAACTGGAAACGACAATATCCACCACATTGTAACTCAAATTTTGTATCCTCGTTGCGATCGATCATGATCAAGTGAGCGGAAGTCGAGGGATCATTTCAGTCACTTTGTAAGACGCCGCTGATATATCGATGACTCACCTGGTTTAGGTCGATGTTATCTAGTGCTTTCCCTTCCACGCACGTCACCCGTTCCTGCCCCACGTGGGGCAGGAACTAAGAAAGTCTTTGAGGAGGCTCAGACAACAAACTTTCGGTTGCTATTCACGCACCCCCTGAAAGTCAGCGTTCTCGTTGCTTAAGCTCGCCTTCATCTTACTTAAAGATATTTCCATTTGTAAAGTGCGAGCTATACGATTTGTACCCCTGGATTGTGTACTCATCATAACATGAACTTTTCGATACTTTCCAACAGTTGTTGCGTTCGACGTCAGGAGAAAGCAACCTAAACTCAACCCGCGAGAGGCTTGGGCACGCAAATCGCTAGCAAGCGTTCACCTGATGGGTCGTGGCGATTAGTTTTACTGAAGATTGAAGGCGCTATTTCGTGCGCACGTGCATAAATATGTACGGAGTTATTTGAGTTCGGCTTTAGAGTTGTTTTCGAAGGGGGTTTTATCGCTGAGCTGGCGATCCTGCAACACCTGTCTGTGTTAATACACCGGTCAAATCAAGCTGAAACTTGCGAGGTAGACAAATAAACACCAGGTAACATTTGCCCATTTGTGACGTGAAGATTAATCTACAACTTCTGCTCGTAAAATGGCATCGTTTTGTTGTTAAATCAAAAAGTGAGCTCACGTGATCACAAAACTGTTTCGATGCCATTTTAGCACTAAAATTAAATCATCATTACTCAGCGTTTCGCAAGACGATAAACAAAAAAATGTCGAACACAAGAGGAGCATTTTTCACACGGAGCAATTTAGGTTTCTGGTTCCCTAAGCTAACATGAACACTTACTTCTCACTTAGGGCAAAATGATGTCTTAGGTGAGGGGTAGGTGGGCAGTTTCCCAGAAACCTAAATTGACCCTTTCACACTGACTTAAGTGTTAGCGTTAAAAGATAATCCGATAAGAGTCCACTTCACTGATGTCGGAGTCACACACAATAGCTGTGATCTATTGAAAAACTTGGTAATATTTTGTAACTCATACTTTAATCACACATTTAAGTATTCAAAGCACCAAATGCAGCTTCATCCTGGAGGTGGAATATTCCTAGCCAGGTGAGCAGCGTACACAAGCAATGTTTTTAATTTTACCTGTGGGAACTTTCACATCGTCGGTTCACTTGAACATACTGAAATACGTAGCACCGCAGCTATATCTCCGATCCAATGTTTTAAGAGTTGCCTTCGTACACTATAAAGCGAGGGAAACGGAAGTTAAAATGATTTTCGCAACTTTGGTAACTTAGGCCCAGGGCAAACGTCGAATCTTAGTCTAATTTAATTTTGAAATAGCCTATTTATTTTGAAATAGGCGCATAAGTGGTGCGACGTTTGCTGTAATTAAATTCGATTCAAATTAATTGATTCGACTCCACGAGGAGCCGCAAGCGGTGATATTTTTGCACGGCATCTGGCGGCACATCAAAGAATTTGGAATTGAAGGGCAAATTCCTAGAATATCTTCGCCAGTTAAGCTAGAGAAAAGGTGTTAAAAAACCTCAGGATCCTAAACAACACGTCAATCAAAATATCACTTGGACCTTTTCGCTAATGAAGAGCTATCACGCGGCTAAGCTTGAATGAGACATATATTGAAATAGGAACTCGTGTCAATAAAGTATCAGAAGTGAGTGGGAATCGCTCCTGGTTAAAAAACTGGTTCACAGGGATATGCATCTCTTCTAGTTAAGAGAAAGGAATCAGAGCTGCTTTTCATGCAGGAACAGGTTTTCTTCGGGCTAACTACAAAACTTCAGCTTATTTTACTCCTTGACATTGTCAAAGCGCATTTTGTAAAGATAACTTTTTCCGCTTTATAAGCTTTTTTTATATTCTATTCCAAGAATGTTCAACCGCCCTCAAAAAGCCAAATAATATAAATGCTGTTGTTAAAAAAAGCGTTTCACCTGTTTTTGTGAATTCGCTACCCAAAGATCACTAAGCTCAAAGGACAGGGCAAAATTTCCAGGAGAGAGGCATTAATTTTTTTTTCTCACGAAGTTACAAAGAGAAAATGCAATGATTATTATTAATGTAACCATCAGGTATACTCTACCCACGAGGTTACGGACAGCAAATGAAGTGATTATTATTAATGTAACCATCAGGTATGTTCTACCCACGAAGTTACAAAGAGAAAGTGCAATGATTTTTATTAACGTAACCTTCAGGTATGTTCTACCCACGAGGTTACAGACAGCAAATGCAGCTACCATGCCGGCGTATCTCCAGAAGGTGGACTCGAAGTGGGACAAACCTTGTGATTTTTTGCGCGCAAACTAATTTATTCTGGCGCGAAATGAAGATTAACAATGTGTATACTGAAATCTAATCCACGACAAGAAGATTTTCGCACTGTAGCGCGACATATTAAATGCCTATTTTTACAAGTACGCGGAGAAAGTGGTCCACTAGTTTAACTTTTTTAAGATGAATTTACTACACAAAAGCAAATGAAATGTTTTATCTCTATGTTGTTTACGTGCCTGATTAGAAGGCAGAAGTAAATTCATCATACAGACCTCATCAAAATGAAAGTACGCGAATGAAACGGAATAAGTCTGGGACGGTTTAGTTTCTACTCAGCAGCTTCTTTGCTTTTATAACAAAAATTTAATGTTGCAGTCTGTTTTAAACGTTGGCATATTCAACGCGCACAGTCACTGAATGAAAACAACAGTCACGATCACGTTCTTAGAAACGGACCAGACGCGTGCGACCTACCACTGTTATGG